TCTGAAAATGTTGTAAATTATTCGAAAATATTGCAAATTGTCTGAATATAATAGTTGTCTGAAAATGTTGTAAATGATTTAAAAATGTTGTGAATTGTCTTCATATAATAGTTGTCTTCAAAAATTGTAAATTATTGGAAAATGTTGTAAATTGTCTGAATATAATAGTTGTCTTAAATTGTTGTAAAGTATTTGAAAATGTTATTAATTGTCTGAATATAAAGTTATCTGAAAATGTTGCAAATTAATTGAAAGTGTTGCGAGTTGTCTGAATATAAAGTTGCTTGAAAAAGTTGTAAATTGTATGAATATAAACTTGTCTGAAAATGTTGCAAATTATTTGTAAATGCTGTTAATTGTCTGAATATGAAGTTGCCTGAAAATGATAAGTCTAAATAATGTTATTAATGGTCTAAAGTTATTTTATATTGTCTATAAATGTCTTGAACTATCTGAAAATATCGTAGATTGTCTGAACATGTAAAAAAAACGTCTAAAAATATACATGATCGCCTGAAAATGTAGTAGATAGTCTGAAAATGTTGCAAACTGACTGAAAATGTTGTAAATTATTTGCCTAAAAATTGCCTAAAATTATAGACAGTCTAAAAATATTGTAGAGTGTCTGAAAATATTGTGAATTATCAAAAAATATAGTAAATTGTTTACAAATGTAATAGATGGTCTTATAATGTTGTAGATTATCTGAAAATGTTGTAAATTATTTAAAAAAAAAGTTATGAATTGTCTAAAAATGTAAAAATTGTCTGTGATTGTCTGATAATGTTGTAGATAGTCTAAAAACGCTGTAAATTATCTGAAAATGTTGTAGATTGCCTGAAAATATTGAAAATTATCTGAAAAATGTAGTAGAATATTTGAAAATGTAGTAGATTGTCCGAAAATGTTGTAGTTAGTCTGAAAATATTGTAAATTGTTTAAAAATGTTATAGATGGTCTGAAAATATTGTAAATTGTCTGATAATGTTGTAAATTATTTAAAAATCTTGTAAATTGTTTAGAAATGTTGTAGATTGTTTGAAAATGTAGTAGATTGTCTAAAAATGGTGTAGAGTATCTGAAAATCTTGTAGACTGAATGAAAATTGCGCGAAAAATATAAATACAAAATATTGAAAATATAGAACTAAAATATTAACAAATGCAAAATATAAATTTGGATTTCTCTTTTCATAAATCATAATAAAAAGATGCAACCCAAATTAAATTGTAAGCCTTTTTAACAGAGTTTATCTTATAGAGTTCAGTAAATAGTTTCACTTCAGAAAAATAATAGTTATTTCTTTAACATAAAATTTCAGTATTTAAAATCTTATTAAGCATTATGAAAAGATGCTTTAAATGATAAAAATCGTAATCGTCTCAATCGTATTTTAAAATCAGTTCAGCAATTTAGGAGTCCATTCGAGACAAACATCATGAAATGTAGTTTATATATAATAATATAAACATTTCATCATTATAAACTTGACCGTACAAAGAATCAGTCTATATTTATTACCATAGCATACATACTCACTTATATAAGATTAAAACTAAATGTCATAAATATAATTTAAAATTAACCTTTACATTTCAAAATCCTACATTCTTATAGCATTTCAAAATCCTACATTCTTATAGCATCTTGCAATCTGCGCCTCGCCAGCATCACTCTGTCTTCTTGTCTGCGAATATCTTCATCAGCAACGCTTATAGCTTGGACCAGCGGTTGTTCTGGGTTTAAAAAGACACCAGGATTAGTACCCAGGGCTGACTTACTGCCCGTTGCCCTGGGAAAAGAAAAAACAATAATATAGATAATTTTAAGTACATTAAGAGATGTAATATTACCTGTGACAGGCTGTCCAGAAACATGAAGTGCTGTAGCTAACGATTGTATAAGGTGCTTTCAGAAACGTGTGGTCCAACTGCTTTGAGACCTTTGGGGAGTTCTACAGGTCCTAACGCTGTACCGTCAAGATCACAAGCTTTAAACCCTTGAGACAAAAACCATAGGTACAAAAGATATAAAATAGTGTATAAATCTTCTATTAGGTTACCTCTAATCTTTTCTCCCAAAACAATTGTTTCGGTTTATCCTGACAACCGTGCTTCAAATCAGTCTTCACTTTACCCTCTTGTGTTTTGAAAACTGTAACGGGTTGTTTGAAAATAGAAGCAGTTTGTCGAATCGGTGGGACTAAAGATGCATCAGCTCTTGCACTACGACTAAAATAATAAATAACAATTAACAGTGGTTTTGATACAAATTGATAATACAAATGTTTAAGATCTTAGTTTATTTATATTTGATAAAATGTTACAAAAACATTCTTGTGGTATGTTTCTGAGTAATGTTATAAATAGCTAAGATCTAAAACATTATTAAAACCTGTAATACACGTCAACTTTTCCAGCGGAGATCCCAGCTTTTCTGAAAGCCTCTTCTTTTGGCCAACTTTTTGGAAGTCCTGCATATTCTGTCTTTTTTCTCTCAATTGTTATATTCATGATGCTTATTTAGAAAATCAACACAAAACGTCCAAAAAGAACTTGCAAACTAAAGCACACTTATTACGCCTGTTTGTATCAATAAATTATTTATATATGCAAAGTTATTTGCTATAATATATAAGTTATTTATATATATTTAATAATATAATTTTTTCAAAGCTTTATGAAGACTCAATTAATGAAAACTGTCATCTGTCACAACATAAACAAGATGAAGTATGAAGTTAGGTACAAAAATATGCCCACCAAAGTAACCGCCAAATTTGAATTCGAAAATAGAAAAACATGAAACTAAAAGTAAAAAATAAATGTAAAATGTAAATATAAATGTAAAATGTAAATATATAGATGTGAATGTAAATATATAAATGTGATTATATAAATGCAAAATATGAATTGGGAAATGAGATATGTAAAATGTGGGATGTAAATTGTATATAAAATATATGTAAAATGTAAAATGTAAATTGAATTTAAAAAATATGTAAAATGAAAAATGTAGAATGTAAATTATAAATGCAGAATGTAAAATGTAAAATATAAATTGTACGATGTGAATTGAAAATGTGAAATGTAAAATATAAATTGTTAAATATGAAATGTGAGATGTAAAATGTACAATATAAAGGTGTAATTGGAATTTTAAAGTATGAAATGTACTAAACGTTAAAATTTAAAATGTAAATTAAACGTATAATATAAAGTGTAAAATATAAAATAAGATTTGTGTAATGTAAAATGTAAAATGTGAATTGTAAAATATAAATTGTAAAATGTAAAATATAAAATATAATTTGTAAAATGTGAAATGTAAAATATAAATGGTTAAATATGAAATGTACAATATAAATGTGTAATCTGAATGTTAAATTGTGAAATGTAATATATATATAATATATATATATATATATATACATGTAAAGTTCAAAATTTAAAATGTAAAATGTGAAATGTAAAAGTTAAAATATAAACTGTGAAATGTAAAATTAAAATTGTGTAATGTAGAATATAAAATGTAAATTGTAAAATATAGAATGTGAAATATAAAATGTAGAATATAAAATGTAAAAGGTAAATTGTAAATTACAAAATGTGAAATGTAAAATGTAGAATATTTTCCATAATGTAAATTGTAAAATACAGAATGCGAAATGTAAAATGTAGAATATAAAAAGTAAAATGTAAATTGAAAATTGTAAAATATAAAATGCAAAATGTGAAATGTAAAATGTAGAATATAAAATGTAAAATATAAATTAATTTATATTTTACAATTGTGAAATTTAAAATGTAAAACGTAAAATGCAAAATGTGAAATGGAAAATATGAAATGTAAAATGTAGAATATAAAATGTAAAATGTAAATTGTAAATTTAAAATGCAAGATGTATAATGTGAAATACAAAATGTAAAACGTAAATTTGAAATGTGAAATATTGATTGTAAAATGTAAATTTGAAATGTGAATTGTAACATGTCAAATGTGAAATGTAAAATATCAAATGTTAAAATATAAATGTAAAATGTAGAATGTAAAATACAAAATGTAAAACTTAAAATATGAATTGCAAAATGTAAAATGGAAGTTATAAAATGTGAAATGTAGAATGTAAAGTGTAAAATGAATAAGAAAAATGTAAAACATAAAATATAAATTGTGTAAATTGTGAAATGTAAAATGTATATAATGTGAAATACAAAATGTAAAACGTAAATTTGAAATGTTAAAGATGGAATATTGAATGTGAAATGTAAAATTTAAAATGCAAAACGTAAGTTATAAATTATGAAATGTAGAATGTAAAGTGTAAAATGAATAAGAAAAATGTAAAATATAAAATGTAAAATATGAATTGTAAAGTGTAAAATGCAAAATGTGGAATGTAAAATGTAGAATATAAAATATGAATTATAAAATGTGAAATATGAAATTTGATTGTATAATGTACATATCTTTTATAAATGTACATATGAATATATAAATATGAATATAAATATAAATACAAATAAAAATAAAAATAAAAATATAAATGTAAATAAAAATATAAATATAAATATAAATATAAAAATAAATAAAAATATAAATAAAAATATAAATAAAAATATAAATAAGAATATAAATAAAAATATAAATAAACATGTAAATGAATATATAAATAAATTTTTGTGTGTTTTAGTATGTAATATTTAGTATTTTTTTAATTTTTACGAACTTGTAACAAAAAACTTGTTCAAATCTTGCTAACTTGCTTAATGATGGCACACATACAGTGTCAAAACGTACATAATAAATAATTATTTATTGCTTTTTATTTTGATAATTTGGCTGTAAATAAACATTTCAATTTTGCCAGCACAAATTAAACCACATGTGCATTTTAAAAAACAATTATTTATTATTATATAATACTTTCCATAATAATAATGTGATGTATATATTCCATATTATCAACTATCATAAAACCACTCCATTAATAAATATGTTTATAATAAATGCATATTAAAAAGTGATTACAAAAATAAACAATGTAATGTAATGATTGAGTATCACAAATATTTTCTACTACTAATCATGTACTGTGATTTCTAAAGGAGGTATAAACCTCCAGATATGAGCAGGCGTTTGCAACATGGGGCTCATGGCCCTTTTACTATCGCTCTGTGATGACATTATGTGTATGGGGGCACTGCATTGAATATCGGCTTTGTAGCGCCCGGGGTTGAAAAAGACTACCGAACATTCGTGATGTGCTTTGTCTTGCTCATTTAGCAAGGGTAAGAGAATTCTAAAAGAACAAATAGTGGTAAAGGACTCGGTAAAAACAAAATTGTAGCTTATAGGTCTATCACTTACTTGTTGGCTCCGGTACAGGCAACTCTGGTTTCCAGTCTGTAGTCGTTGATGCCATTCTGGTGATCCTGGTAGAAACTTATGGACAGTGATAGATGTGATAAAGGCTTCGGCAAATGGTTTGCAATTGACACACCTATTCTGACGCACTGTCCGGCTTGGCAGGAATATTCTTCTTGGGGTCGAAGTTGCTGGGCGTTTAAAGTCACCTCTGGGAGGAAAAAATACAATTATAATATATATATATACATACATATACAAGTCTGTTCAAAAAGTACCCGGAATTTTCGTTTTTTCAAAAAAATATTTATTTATTCGTCTACATTAATGTGGTCCCCTTCAAAGTAGTCCCCCCCAGATATAATACACTTATGCCAGCGTTTTTTCCAATTTTCGAAGCACCCTTGATATTCACTTTTTGATATGTCCTTGAGCACTCTCAGCGATTCGGCCTTTATTTCTTCAATCGAGGAAAACCGCCGTCCTTTCATGGGTCCCTTCAACTTTGGGAATAGGAAAAAGTCACACGGTGCCATATCTGGTGAATTTTTGCACTTTGCAACACTTTATTTCATTTTTTACGCAAAATTTAATACAAATTCTTTGACTTTTCAATTCTTCCATTGTAAAAATCGCCGAGCTCAGAAAAACACGTCGAACTTTAGCGACTACCACAGACAAAGTAAACAGTGAATATAGCTGAAAATTTCATCATACTTTAGGGGCATGTATACCAACACAATAAAAAAAAAATTTTGACAATCAGACACTCCAGACCCGCGAAATTTAATTATTAGTAATTCCGGGTACTTTTTGAACAGACCACGTATGTATATATATATATATATATATATATATTAATATATTACAATTTATCAATTTCCTTCTTACCCCATTGCAACGGTGCAACTCTGACCAAATCCAACATATGTGATGCCAAACTAATGCCCTTCAGACTGGCAGTACCGTGTATTTGTGTTCCTATTAATTGCCATTTCAGTACAACTAGGGCTGTTATGTGCTCCGAGCAGGCACGATCAATGTCTTGTAGAAATGATGGATAAGGATTCAGAGAATCTAAACAGAAATATAATGAAAATTAGAACAAAAGAAGGAATAAATTATATGAGTTGTTCTTACCTGTCTCGGATAGTGGTTCCTCCTGTGGCATTTTTTCCAAAGGGCACCTGTTGACTGGCACAGGCACCCTACAGCTTTCCTGAGCTTCTATCAGCATATTTTTATCAGTCGTGTACTCTAAAGAAATTTCCTGCTGCGTCAGATTCATCACGTCTAGTACTAGATAGAATTGTGAAGGCCTGGGAAAAAATAAGATAAATATTAGGGTCGTCCTTAATATCGACATTTTCGAATTTTCTTGCTCCCAAGGGCTCAAATGGTTCCAAATTGATACAAAACAATTCTCTGAAAGTTTTAGCTCTTAATATTGGTTTTTAGATAGAGCGCAATTCAATCAAACTTTGTATGGAAATAGCATAGAAAATTCCCACTTTGTGTAAATTTAACGGGTTTGTTTTTCCACCTATACCAAATTATCTACCTATACCAAAGTATCTAGTACTGTATCTGAAAGGTTAATTTCACCTAGGTTGTGTTTCATGCAAATTAGACGATTGCGACATGCAAATGGACAATTTGGAATGTTTGGCCAAATTATAAATCTGCCTGTTGACATTAATAATATGGTTAATTTATTACCTCGTAATATTGATGATAGTCATTGCATTGACGTTCACATAAAAAAGCATTGATTCTTAGATCAAGCATGTGCAGGACTTGATGAATAAAACAAATATAAAAGTATGGCTTCAATTTGTTAGGCAAGACGGATATTACAGCTGTTCAAGGAATGAGATTATATCGTCAGCGAAAAAGTAAAAAAATACAAACAGTAAATGAATGTATGTTAATTTTAATTACATGAAGTTCTTCAAACACAATTGTTACAGGATGAGTTAATTTGCAAAAACAATATTTGTTTAGGCGTTGTTTAACATAATCCACTGTGTGAATGAATATTATAGACTTTATTATTCAGCAATTACTTTAAAACAATCATGTCATATTTGATTACATTACGTACGTACGACTTTGATTACATTATTGTTTGTAAATATTATACATATTTTTAATGTAATCATAAATATATAATTTATAATTTATCATTATATAAATGTGTATAATAAATGACGACACTAATAAATGTGTGCATCACGAGTGTTACCATATTACTAATAAACATTGTTCAAAATTTTTATATGATGCATTTATTTTTACTCAACTTAAATTTGCTACTTTATACAGTAGCAAATAAGTTTTACTTCAATCGCGTGTGATCCTTACGCGCACTCTTTTTTTTTAACTTTTTTATTTTATATTACTTTTTGAACTATATACTATATTACTATATATATATATGTATATAATATAGTATATATATATATAAACTATGTAACTATATGTATATACTATATATATATATATATATATATATATATATATATATATATACTTATAACTATATTTTGAACTATATATAATTGATAAAAACAATTCTCTAAAAGTTTTAGCTCTTAATATTAACTTTTAGATAGTGCGCAATTCAATCAAACTTCTTATGGAAATAGCATGGAGAAAATTTTGAAAATCAAAAAAAAAATTTTTTTAGGTATAACTTAGAGTCAAATGAATTAAAAGTGAAAATTCTTGTCATTTTTTATTGAAAATTCGATAAAGTAAAATTTTTGTATATTTTTCCATTCTATTTTCATACAAAACTTTGATTGAATTGCGCTCTATCTAAAAGACAATATTAAGAGCTAAAACTTTCAGAGAATTGTTTTTCATCAATTTGGAACCATTTGAACCTTTGGGAGCTAGGAAATTTGAAAATGCCCATATTAAGGACCACCCTAACAAATAATTAGAACGGCAGAAAAATATTTTCAGCAGACTTTTACTACTTACGTCTCTGCTGGTAGGACATCCCAATGTGTAATCTGCACACTCGGTATCAGCTCTAAATTGATCATCAATGTACTCTGTCGACAATAACCTTCTTTATACCCACTACCGCCACTATAACGTATTATCAGATGCCCATTGATGTTCCTACTGTGAGGGGTTGTCAACGTGTTATGCGGAAGAGACAAAGTTGCCAAGGAGGAATGTCCTGATGTAGTCGATCTAAAAAACAATAACTAGTGACAAATGGTTGACGATAATATGATGTCTATTATTTTTGTTTCTGGTTTGTACCTAAAACTTGATGTCAATTCTGTCCTCTTGCCCAAAAGTGTGTTGGTCGGTGAGTGAACACGACTTGGAAGACTTGCATGTCCAGAGTTGGTCAAACCGCTTCCAGCACTATAAAGACTGTTGGTTCCGCCACCTGCCATCGTGTTGATACCACCTGGAAAAATATTACAATTTATATACAATATACATATACAATTACACAGCCGCGTTTTCTAACGTCCCTCTTTAGGCGCGACATGGGTGTAAATCCGTAACAAAGCAACGAAAATTGTTACGCCAAGGTCAAGTGAGAGTCATTCGCTCTCGATGACATCATTTCTATACGGGTCGATTCTGATTGGTCGTCGTATTTGTGCGAGGCTTCTTGGTATGCGTGACTTTATACGTGCGTACGACACCGAAAGCGTGAAGCATATTGTTCAATTTCCGGTGTTATGTTAAAACATTTTAAGTAGTATAAATCGTGAGTTAATAAAAATGTCAGGATCGGAAGAATATTTTATTCCGTCCCCCATAAATAATTCTAGTGCAAATTATGAAACAAATAAAAAATCTGTGCAGCGTAAGAAACGTAAGTTTATTGAAGTAATTTGTATTATTCGAGTTTTTCGAGGTTACTACTAAAATGGAATATTTTTATAGGCAAGACAGATACTACAGTTGCTCAAAGAATGAAACTGTATCGCCAGCGAAATAGTCAAAACAAACAAGCAGTCACTAAACGTATGTTAATTACAATGACATGATAAGTGAAATTGTGAAAACAATATTTCTTTATTGGAAATTTAAAGAAAGTTTACATGTTTCTCTTCTATGATGGCTATGAAGACTAATTTTAGTTTATTATAATAGTAATTATTAATATTGATGAAGGTTCAAAGCCTCTTACAAACTCTGAAAGATCAAGATTACATCGTCGCACAAAACAACTGCAGGAAAATAATCGGTTACTGCCAATTTATTAGTAAATCTTGAGCCAGGTATCAATTTAGATGTTAATGTCAACACCATTGACATAAGTAAGAATCTTTTTTCGCTATTTGACTCCTTTGATTCACATTTAAACATATTATTCTGTTATCTTTTTAGATGAAAGTACTGCTGTAACTTTTTCTGACACAGCAACTACATCACGTCAATTGCAAATTAATGATTCTGCATATAATGTAACTTGTAATGTGACAAGAACTGATCTTTTGCAAGAGTCAAATGAAGTATTCAAACTTCCATATAAAGACTTCAATTTGTTTAGGAATGCACGAAAATTGTTTGTAAAACAATTTACAAATGATAGCTTTGGCTATGTATATTTTGTGTGTGATCGACTTTGGTTTCAAAGTGATTTAAAAATATTTAAAATGAAGTTCAAAAACAAATTCTTAATAATGGTTTTCTGAATATTGATTCAAATAATCAGGTTGGATGTCAAACTTGTCAAAAGGCATTAAATTCGGGTAAAATTCCCACTTTGTGTAAATTTAATGGTTTTGTATTTCCACCTATACCAAATTATCTACCTAAACTAGATACTGTATCTGAAAGGTTAATTTTACCTAGGTTGCATTTCATGCAAACTAGACGATTGCGACATGCAAATGGACAATTTGAAATATTTGGCCAAATTATAAGACGTTAATAGTATGGTTAATTTATTGCCTCGTAATATTGATGATGATCATTGCATTGACGTTCACATAAAAAAAAAAATGATTCATAGATCAAGCTATGTGCAGGGCTTGATAAATAAAACAAATATAAAAGTATGGCTTCAATTTTTTAGGCAAGACAGATATTACAGCTGTTCAAAGAATGAGACTGTATCGCCGGCAAAAAAGTAAAAAGATACAAGCAGTCAATGAACGTATGTTAACTTTAATTACATGAAGTTCTTCAAGCACAATTATTACATGATGAGTGAACGAATATTATAGA